GCTGCGATACCTATGAGGCCTGCCCGCATCGGGCACAACACGTGCGCTCACGGTGCCGATTGCTGTTGGGGAGGTGGTTCGTCGTTCACTTTGCCCGATTGGCGTCGCCCAGGCTGCGCGACTGCCGAAGGGCAAGGCCTGCCGAAGGACTGCCAAAGCCTGGGTCGCAAAAGAATTTTAGCACGCGCTCTTGCCCGCAACCCGATCCCGGCGAGAGACTGCGAAAAGAGATACGAAGAGGCAGACTCCCCAGGGTGGGCGACGGCTAGCGCACCACACTCCTCTCCTTAAAATCCCTGTGTGGTGGCGGCGTGCCGTTCTCCCATCCCTCCCTTGGGTTGTGTGTTTTCTTTCTTTCTGGCAACGGGGTGCTGAAAACTCTCGACATCGGGAACAACAGCATCGGCGTCGACGGCGCCAAGGCGATCGCCGAGGCGCTTCAGGGCAACGAGGTGCTGAAAAAACTCAACCTCGACGGCCATGAGCTCGACCTGCCGAAGCTGCGCGGCACCGACCCGGTCGAGTCCCTCGACCTCTCGAGCTGGAGCCTCGGACCCGCTTCGGCCATCGTGATCGCGTCGTTGATTGCGGGCAACGGGGTGCTGAAAAGGCTCCATCTCGGTCGTAACTACATCGGCGACGAGGGCGCGAAGGCGATCGGCGGCGCTCTCGCAGTCAACGGGGTGCTGAAAAACATCAACCTCAGCTACAACAATTTGGGCGATGAGGGAAGGAAAGCGATTCACGATGCGGTGAGCGGGCGGGAAGGGTTCGAGCTCGAGATGTGAGGGGTAGATTCTGAGAGCGGACGGCGCAGGGGGGCGTGCGGGAAGTTAAGACGGGGTTGTCACGGGGTTGTCTTCTATGAGTTGCGTCGAGGATTCCGCGATTTCCTTTTTGCGTTTTGGATTTTGCGTTTTTCAGCAGGGTGCTGACGAGCATCGAGATCGACCTCCGCGGCAACAAATTCGGCGATGAGGGGAAGAAAGCGATTCAGGATGCGGTGAGCGGGCGGGAAGGGTTCAAGCTCGAGATGTGAGTGGGCTCTGAGAGTGGAGATGGTGTAGGGGGGCGTGCATGGGATTACTCGAGTAGAGTGGGTTGTCTTGAAGAGCTTGGCGCGTGATTTCTTTTTCCGTTTTTTCAGCAGGGCGCTGACCATCCGCCTCTTGTCGGTTGCCCCGCGCCTTTAGCGGATAAACGAACAAAATGACGGCCGCAACCTCGATCACCTCCCTGCGCGCCCGGGAGGAGACGGCTGCGGTGGAGAGGATGCTTGACAAGACGTTCAAGAGCTGGTGCAGGACGACAGCGCGACAAAGGAGGAGGCGACGCGGCTGATGCCCTCGAGCGACGTCATCCACCTGGCGACGCACGGCGCGCCCGACGGCCTCTCCTTCGCCGGCAAGAGCGAGGCGGAGGCGACTCTGAGCATGGCGGAGGTGCAGCGTCTCGAGCTGCGCGCGCCACCCGCCGCATGGGCGCGCTCACGCTCGTGTCGTCGCTGTGGAAAGTGAGTGACGACGCGACGCGCGAGCTCATGCGGCGATTCTACGAGGCGTGGGTGGCGGATGGCGACCCGGCGGCGGCGTTGCGCGCGGCGATGGTGGGGATGATCGAAGACGGCCGTTGGACGGTGCAGCAGTGGGCTTCGTCGTGTACAGGCTCGCGGGCGACGGCGTCGCGGCTGCGACGAGCGGGGCGGCGCTGCTCTCACTGGAGGGCGGCGGGGGCGGCGGCGGCGGCGGCGGCGGCGGCGGCGGCACCGAGTCTCGGTGAGCGGCGGCGGGAGGAGGAGCAGCGGCGGCGCTCGCTCGCTGTTGACGGGAGCGCTTTTGAGCCTGGGAGCCCATGCCACTGCGACCGGCGTGCCCGGGAACGGAGATCGCGCGCGCGCCGCCACTCACGACGCGCGCGCGATCTTCGCGGAGTCGGGTCCCCAGAGGGAAGCGGTCTTCTCGGCCGACGTCCAGCGGCGCGCAAGGAAGCAGGCGCAGCGGAGGCGGCCTAGACTGGCTCGGCGCCGGGCGGTTGCGCTGCCCGCGAGCCGCGTCCTGAGCCTCGGCAGCGCGCCTCGCGGCGCGGCGCTCGCGCTGCTTCTGTGCCGAGAGCGGCATGATGGTTCGCCAGCTGAAGCTCGAGACTCCTCGGTATCACGAATTGCGCAGGTCACGGGGATAAGCGGCGGACAACGGGGGAGCCATATGTCTTTGACTGGTGGTCCGTGAAGAACAGCTGCCCTACCCCGCCGCCGCTCACTCTTACAGAAACGCATCCCGACCTTCGCCCTTTGACACGGCGGCGGCGGGCGTGCTCCAGCGCGTGCGCCGGCCAGCGCGCGCTCGCCGGTCGAAGAAGAGGATGAGGGCGTACCGCGTGCCTCCCGTCATTCATTGCGCTCACGGCGTGCAGCAGCCGGCAGGAGTGCACGGTGGCGTCGCCCTCGGCCCGCAGCAGCGGCTGCACCGCCCCGCCGAACATGCTGAGCAGGCGGCCTGGTGCGCGGTGGCGGTGCGCGGTGGTGGTGCGCGGTGGTGTGTGGTGGTGGTGTGTGGTGGTGGTGGTGTGAGGGGAGGGGCGTGTGCGTGGCCCGCCACCGGCTGATGGTGGGAGGTGTGGGAGAGGTGATGGGAGGTGTGTGTCAGTGTGTGTCAGTGTGTGTGAATGTGTGTGTGCGCCTCCCTCGTGCGACGCATCGTCCGAGAGCGCGACATTGACGGTCACCTAAGGTAAGGTAAGGTACACTTCTCCACACATCAATCCAAGAAAGACAACAAAAACAACATCAACAAATCTCTCTCCAATCTCTCTCACATCAAGCGAAAATCGGCCCAACGAAAACAGCACTCGTTAAGGGCAAAAGGATTTGCTGTGGGGGGCGTAGGAAGAGTCTGCACTGTCCACGCGCAACTGGGGGAGAGCGGAGGGCGTGTTTGAGGGACACGTACTCGTAAAGTCAGGTTGGGCGTGCGTGCGTGCGGACCCATTTAACCAAGGCGTGTGAGCGTATCCGGCCTATCCCCCCTCCGACTCTTGGGCTCGATGCCTGGCGCATCCGACTCGACCGGGTGCGCCAGCGTCGAGCCCCGCAAGCCCTCGAGGCTGTTCGACAGCCACGGCCCCTATGCGGTCGCTCGTAATGTGGTCGTGCTGCTTGCCACGGGCGGAAACTTGTGGCTCTGCGTTTTTGCTCTGCGCAACAAACCGTGGTCCTGGTCGCGGATGCAGGAGCATCCGACCTCTGCCGCCATATCGACGGGCCCCGCCGAGCAGCACAACGCGACGCTGCTTGGGGGGCTCTGCACTGACGCGCCGCCGCTGCCATGCAATGAGACTGGCTGCCCACGCGGCGATCTAGTGCCATGCTTCGAGCTTCGGTCGTCTTGCCTTTCTTTGTTCGAGGAGGCACGTCTCCGCCGATGGCCCTCGCTGCCCTCCCCTCGGTGGCGCTGATCAAGACTGGCCCCTCCCTGCCGCAGGTCTGGCTGCACCCACCCGAGGAGCACCGCAGCAGCTTCGTGTGGGAGCAGTGCCGCCGCACCTGTCGCGCGTGCACAGGCAGGCAGGCCTTTCAGCTGCTGCAGGCGCGCGCCGAGCAGCAGGGCCGCGGCGGCCGCTTCTCGGCGCCCGGCCCGGACAACACGCTGACGCGGAAGAGCCGGAATGCGCGCGCGGCGCTGCTGCGCATGCGCTTCTTCCATGCACTGCACGCGCTGCACGCCGACAGGATGAGACCGAGCGACGTCCCGCGCGGGGTTAAGCACGACTCTGGCTGGCTCGTGCAGACACAGCTGGGAGACGGTGCGCTCGAGATTATTGCGCGTTCGCCGAAGCTGCTGCGAGCGCCAGAGAGGAGAGGAGATGTGGACGCGAGCTACAGCCGGGTGCTCGAGTACGAAGCCCTGTGGGAGGGAGAGGGGCTGAGCTGACCGCCGTGGGAGGTCGGAGCTCCAGCCACGGAGAGCTGCCATGTAACATTCTGACTTGCCGACAGACGCAGGGGTCATAGCTAGGCCAGGGCGTGCAGCGAGGGAGGCTTCTTGTGGTTGTGCGAGGGTGCAGGCCCAGGCTTGTGCGTGCGTGTTACGGTGGGTGCCTCTGTCAG